AAATGGTGAATTTATATGCCCATCAACTGGTAAACCTTGTTCATGTGGAACAAAGACTGCAAATGATAGAAATACCAGCAACATGTATGGATCTACCTGTTACAATGAGATAGATGGAAGCACTTATACAGATAAAGAGATTATTTTCCCCCCAGAGTTGTTATTGAGGAAATTAACTCCTTTGAATTTGAATGGGTCAGGAGGACTTAAATGGTATCGACCTTTACAACTTGCCCATTTGCTCGAGTTAAAAGCAATATATCCAGAAGCAAAACTTCTGGTTGGTAATACTGAAGTTGGAATTGAGATGAGATTGAAGAGAATGCATTATCAAGTACTTATATCTGTTAATCATGTACCTGAACTTAATGTGTTGAGTGTGAAGGATGATGGAATAACAATAGGTGCGGCCGTGAGGCTTACTGAACTCTTAAATTTATTTAAGAAAATTGTTGCTGAGCATGCTGCCCATGAAAAGTCAGCATGCAAGGCATTCATTGAACAACTGAAATGGTTTGCTGGAATGCAAATAAGGAATGTTGCATCCGTTGGAGGGAATATTTGTACAGCCAGTCCTATATCTGATTTGAACCCTCTTTGGGTGGCTTCAAGAGCAGAGTTCCAAATTATTGATTGCAAAGGGAACATTAGGAAAGTGGCAGCGGGAGATTTCTTCCTTGGTTATAGGAAGGTGGATCTAGCGAGTGGTGAAATTTTACTTTCTGTCTTTTTACCGTGGACTAGGCCTTTTGAGTATGTGAAAGAATTTAAGCAGGCCCATAGGAGGGACGATGATATTGCAATTGTGAATGCTGGAATGCGCGTCTTTCTTGAAGAAAAAGGCCAAAATTGGGTTGTTTCAGATGCATCAATTGTTTATGGTGGGGTAGCTCCACTCTCTTTATCTGCAATAAAAACTAAGGAATTTCTCATTGGGAAGAATTGGAATAAGGGACTGTTGCAAGATACTTTGAAAGTCATACAAACGGATATTCTGCTTAAGGAAGATGCTCCAGGTGGGATGGTGGAGTTTCGAAAATCTCTAACTCTTAGTTTCTTCTTTAAATTTTTTCTATGGGTTTCTCATCAGCTAGATGGTACAAAATCCATTAAGGAAAGCATACCATCATCCCATTTGTCAGCTGTGCAGTCATTTCATCGCCCAACAGTGATAGGAAGCCAAGACTACGAAATTAGAAAGCATGGGACATCTGTGGGCTCTCCAGAGGTTCATCTCTCATCAAGACTGCAGGTTTGTAAAGTTTGACATGCAACCTTCTTTTTTACCTTATC